CCCCAAAAAAAAAAGGAAAAGACATTTCATTATTCATAGAGTACAAATTCTATAATAAAAATTGCGATTCATTTTGGAGAGATACGTTTATTCTCTAACCTTTTGTGTAGACATTTTTTTTTCCAGCAAGCATCACTTTAAGAATTCATTCTTTATTTGCCGAAACCCCTCTGCAAAACCACGAGAATATATATCATACAGCATCAATAAATTATGCGCTATATATATTAATGGCAATAATAATATGGAATCCATATCAAGTCATAATGATCAACATTATTTCGTGTTTATTTATTCATTAATTGATATTAAAATGAAAATTTTATTAGGAAGACAAAAAATGAAACAAGGAGAAAGGAGAAGGAAAGTAGAATATTAGTATATTACAACGCTTTAGGTCATAACATCCATGTTGCATTAATTGTTAAAAAAAAATCTTTTTCTATAATCCCAATTAATGGGATTATTTTTTATTCATTATCTATATAAAGACCAAAACTGCAAACTGTAAATGAGTGAATTATATCTCAACCTTTTCCTTTCATCTTCCACTACATTGATTATGTCCTTCCACATTTTCATTTCTAAATGTCAAACCTTAACCATCTCTATAAAAGCTCTTCCTAGTCCTAGAAATATAAACCATAAATCCCTCAAATTCAATGAATGGGGATACTAACAGGGGTTTACTAAGAGCAACTCAAGGGCTAAGGAATCTCCAAATACAGGCATTATTACAATCACCTTAATTAGATGCTCTATGGAAGCTTGTCTATCAAAAAAAATTGTATACTGTATAGAAGCTACAACCTGGTGTTGAGTTTAAGTAGCGTTTCTAATTTTAGATTCTATTTTAAGTCTTGCATTTGAATATGCAAGTACCAGGAATGAATTCTCCATAATTAGTGTACTGTTTTTTCTGTTTAGTTTTCGAAGTAAAACCAAGTTTCGAATTTGAAGGCAGATAAACGCAGTGTCTCTCCCCTTACAGACGAGAAATAGCAACTTTTCCCTTTTTTTATTTTTTAACTTTGAATGGGACAAATGAGTACAATAACCATGCATTTATTACAATAAAGACAGAAGATGAAACGTCATAAGACAATAGAAGCATAATTGAAACCCTAAAGCTCATTTCAATTCAGAATTGCTCATCAGATAGTTTGTTCCAATAACCTTTTTGATCCATTCATGAAATTGAGGCTCAACGTGCACATGAGAACGCAAAACTCTTTTTGATTCAGTGCCCCATCACCATCCAAATCTCCTTGTTTTAACATGCAGAAGAGTTCGTCGTCGCCCAAGTCTTGCACTCCCAAGAGAAAAGTGTTCCGCTTCAGACTCTCGAATGTGATGAGACCCTTTGCATGATCCATTAGCAGACAGAAGCCATAACAAAGTTCTGCGATAAATCGATCAACACCCATACTAGTCACCATTGATGGAAAGTAATCTTCAAACATGAAGTCATCCTCTTCAGCCATTGAACCCAGAATGGAAGTTAGAAACTATGGATGGGATGGATAGCAAGAACAATGATATGGAGCAAAGAGAAAGATATGCAAAAGCTTGTGGAAGGAGAGCGGATTAAGGCGTTAGTGTTAAACCAGAGTTGGAGATAAGAGGGTTTTATAATGTCGGGATGAGCTTGGCTTTCTACTCTGGAAACTTGTGGCCCTTAGGTTGGGAGGTTCTCTTTCGTGGAAGCTGCTTGGGGGTCTAAATTTATCGAGTCCAACATTATGGCCCTGCCATGACCTGATAAAAATAAGCCTCTTAATCTTACTAGATCTACATGTTTTGGCTTTAATTTTGGGCATGTTTAATGCGTGTCTATAGTATATATGATGTTTTTTTAAACTTTTCAGGCAAGGCTGATATACTACTTGCAATCAATGAATGGCATCATACCACCATCAAAAATTGCTAGCAGCCTAGTCGACAGAATTGAGAGTTGCCCATGACCACTGATATTCCATCTTCATCTTGGAAAAAGCTTTTTCTCCTTTTTGAAAAAAGTGGAAATGCTCCTATAAACCATGGATGATATAACTTTTGTACTTTCTGAAGAGGTGGCTTTGACAAATCACAATCATGGTGAGGACCCATGAATAGGACGTACCGTTTTTTTTTTTAAGGGAGGACCGGAGGAGGAGTCATGCAATTATAGTTTGTACCATGATTTGGGTGAAATGGGATGGGATGGGACGGGAAGGAAATGTATAAAAATTTAACTTTTCATTGTTTAGTTTTATATGGACAAATAATAAGAAAAGTATCCAACACAAAACATAGGAGATGATGTCAGCCTGGAAGAAACTATTACAATGGTTCTCTCATCCTCACTAGCAGCGGTGATGACTAGAAGTTTGTACGGAAGAGATTGACAACAGAGGAGATGATTCCGGTGTGAGCTTCGTCTGACAAGACTTCTAATGGCGTCTGCTGTGGTTGTATCTATTCACAGAGTTCTCAGAGGTTGAAGAAGAAGAGTTTCTTGAGTTTTTTTGAGAGGTTGAAGAAGAAGGCCCATCCCCCTTCTTCAAGGGAATGAAGAAAACTCGTGTTTTTTCGAGTTTTTTCCACTGGGGTCGCATTGTTTTAGTGTGATTCCGATTAGACGATTGTGAGGTCTTGCATCCCACGTTTTTTTCAATCAATTCCCCTATTTTCCTTAAAACAAATAAGAGAAAAAATGAATACTTTTGAAATATTCCCTTTTTCTCATTCCCATCCTACAAACCAAATGGAGCCTTCGCGTAAACAAAATTTAGCTGTTTATACTTTAACAGCCCTTTTTGAAAGCCCAGAATAGCATTTGGTTTGAATAGTTTGCCTTATCTAGTTTGGATAGGAAAGGTGGTGGGCCAGATTTGAGTAGAAAACCATTCATTGGGCTGGCCTTATAGAAGCATGGTGTTTTTTTCTTTTTTCTTTTTTTGGAGGTTGAGTTTTAAAATTTGTGTTGATGATTTTGGGCCGAGTTCTTGTGAGCAGTTTTGTGCAGCTATTTCTGTGGGATGTAGGACCGTTTACATTGCTATGTGCTGGGCGGGGTGATCATTTTCATACCGCACTGCAAATTTTGGGTTTGGGCTTAGATTTTTTTGTCAAGTCTCGACCTGATTCTAAGCCTACAAATTTTAGGGCTGAGCTTGGGTCCAACACGTTAGGCTCATTCTAGCCCAAACAGGAAACCCTTAGCTGGGTTCCACTGTAGTTTCTTTTATCCAATTTTCATTTTTAATATTTTTTCCTATTGAAAGATATATTTTGCGAAGTGTTAAAAATTCAATTTACACGCAATGAAAAGGAACCCTTTTCGGTTCTTCATTCACAAGTTGTCATGTCGTTTTGAATAACATTATGAAGTCAAAAGATTAAAAAAAAAAAACAAGAAAATGCTTATATATATATATATATATATATAATTTTGAATGCTAGACCTGCCTCTCTTTCTTTACAATGGTAGTAGTAGTTGCAAATAAAGAGGAAGAGAATCGGTAAATGAGAAAACTGAATGGTTTCTTAAGCAAAAAAAAGGCAAGATCTAAGTTCTGATCCAATAACTACTCCCTGTTTCTTTTGTACGAAGAAAAAAAAAAAACAAATCATTTTATTAAACTAATTGTATCCCAGACAATAATACTAAGTGCAACCAGTGGAATGAAGTGGAAAGACGGATCCCCATTTCATCACCAAACTTTAAATGTCTAAGCTGTGATCTATTTAAGAACACCCATCATTATTGTGTTAGTGAGAAGGTTTGAGAGTGGGAGAGAGAGAAATAGAAAAGCAGGTTTGAGAATGAAGATCACGATTGATCATTGGAGGGAGACAGGGAGAGGAAGGGGGCCAGGACAGTGAGGGTTTCAGAGGACAGAGAAAGGGGTTAATTTCGGGTTAGGAAAGAGGACAAGAGATATTGCAATTTTATTTCTTTGGTAAATCAAAAAAAAAAAGAAAAAAGAAAAAGGGAATGCTAGAAAGACAACCGATAATTTGAGGGTTTCATTCCTTTATAATTCTAAGTAAATAGATGATGTGAGGACCAAAATTGGTCCTTTTCTCAGTGAGTCCATATCAAATTTGTACTCTTTTTTTTTTTCTTTTTGCAATACCATATACATAGCCAAACACCCCCTGCATCAGCAAAAAATAAATAAATAATATACATTTTGACCAAAGAAAAAAAAAAAATTCACATTGAAGAATACTGAATACCCCCTAAAGCTTAGTTTAGGGGTACTATAACCTAATGTCATAAATTTTCGTATTCGAAATGGAGCCTATAATGCCACGTCGTAATTAAAGTAATGAACAAGTCATGTAACCAAAAAGAGCTGAAAATGATTTGGCGCCTTTTAACCACCTCATCTCTGGAGTCTGGACACAGCGGATTTTGATTCCAATTCTCCGCTAAAACCTGCTAAGATACCAACTGAGCCAGTTGGCACAGTGACCTCACCTCCTAATATTGAACTCTAAAATTCACATAAAATAAATTAGTCATCCTTTTCATAAACGGCTCACTTTTTTTAAGCATTGTTCGTAATCCTCTGCCTATTTGGTCCACCACCGATGCCATGAGAATAGCCCTCACTGTAACGCTAACTCAAAACTTGTATTGCTATATACCCGATGGGTGTTCATCTGGCTTCAATCTAGATGGGGGCCCATATATATTTGGCTTGAGGCCCCCAATAATTCGTCGCTTATTGCATTTATTCAACCGTTAACGATCAATAATTGAACCAGTCCCAACCCAAAATTACAAAAGTCAGCATATGATCACATGGATTTTAGGTTTCTTATTTATTAATTTGAGCCTCCAAAGATTCCTCTTGTTCATAACTTTTTTTTTTTTGAAAAATTTCTCTCCCTTTTTTTGATTTTTTCAACTTTTGTAATCCACGTTATTTCGTTTCTATCAATCAAATTGAATTACTCACGTCCAAACCCATTAACAAATCAAATTTCTGTATTTTTCTCAATTGGCCACGTCAGATGACTATTTCTCTGTTTCGGGCCTTTCCTAGAGTCGTGCTAAACAAGCTCTATCACGTCCGAAGAGAAGAAATTTTTCAATTTTCAATTTTTTTAATCATCACCATTTGTCGGTTTTTCCGGTCTATTTCATAGTATTCATCCTTGTTTCATACAGGTTAGTTTTACCCATGCTCTCCCACTATAGAGGTCTGATTGTTAATGGCTACTGTAATGGTTTCCAGTTCGTACCTCTGTATCCTTAAGTTCTAACTTATAACGAGACAAGAACCAAAGTCTCACAATTCGATTAGAGCGTCATTAATAACTGGGATCCATGATTTGGCAATAGAGGATTTTACTAAGTCATCTTGCTTTGATTGTTGGGATCGATGGTCGCACCGTGCATGGTTATTAACGGGTTAAGAAGATGGGACTGGCGGGTCGGATCCAACCCGGATTCTACCTCACCCATCTAACACCCGATTCCCAAAATGCCAACATTTAATTATCCCTTAATATTTTTTATTGTTATTGTAAAATAACTTTCTAATTATTAAATTAGTTTATTTTGCTAATTTATTAATTACTTAAAATAATTGGGAATTTTTTTTATATTTTTGTAATTTTGGTAAATAGGAAAATTTAATTACTGAAAATTAAGAAATTTAATTTCAGAAGTCAAAAATTAATTAAAAATTACTGATTAATATTCAATGATATTATCCAATATTTAATTAAAAATTAATTAAATATCAGTTTATTACTATTTAATGATATTATCAGATAATAATTAAAAATTATCAGTAAATTTTGATTGGAAGATTTATTTCACTAAATATAAATTATCAATAATTATCAGTACTTAATTACTAATTATTACTATATAAATACTAAATAATTATTGTAATTTATTAAAAATTACTATAATTCTTAGCAATTATTAATTACTAATTCAGTGAATTATCTAATTCAGAAAATTATTCTTTATTTTAAACTATTATTACTTATTAATAATCACTACATTTGAATATCCCTAAATGTTTTTGGTAATTTCTGCATAATAGTTTTTTTAATTATTAAAATATTGAAATTCGGTAATGAGTTATATTTGGTATTTAGTAATCACTACATTTGACTATCCCTAAATTTTTTTGGTTGTTATTGCTAAATAATTTTTGTGATTATTAAATTAGTAAAATTTGCTAATTTATAAATTACTGAAAATTTATTTGCAGAAAATGACTGATTTTGGAAGTTTAATTTCTTAAATTTTTGAAAATTAATTATTGATAACAATAATTAATTAAAATATTAATAAAAATCAATTAAAATGTATCAGTAATTTTTATTGGAAATTTTATTTCAATAAATATAAATTTATTTTGTACATTTTCAGTCATTTTTGAGCAACAATTAGTTATTGATATTTTAAGTAATTTTGATCAAATTGTTAATATTTCATGATATTATAAGATAATAATTAAAAACATTTAGTAATTTTCATTGGAAAAATAATTTTAATAAATATCAATATATTCATTTTACATTTTCAGTAAAAAAATTATTGTACTTTTGAAAATTTTCCTCAAAAGATAAATTAGTATAGTTTTGGAAAAGGAAATTATTGACTATCTTATATTTAAAAAAGATAAATTGGTGTAACTTTGTAAATAAA